ATAATATTCTTTTCCTTGCTTATGAAAATAAATCGTACAAGTCATATATGTTGGGTTAGGCAGTTTAATCACCAGTGCGTAACTATGTGGATAATATTAATGAAGATAGAATGAATGAAACCTTCATTATTAAGACATTCTTTTAGAGATTAATATTCACTCATGCATGCGTGGAACTAAAACAGTGTTCTATGATGAGGTTTTCAAAAGCCAAATCAAAATGAAATGTCATTAATGCATCTTTTATTTTATTTATGTTCTTGCTACACAACATGCAATAACCATCAATGTTGTTTTCCACTTCTGCAGAGTTATCATGACTGATACTTTTCATGATGAATTGTTATATTTAACGACTGAATTTTTCCTTTTAGGTCCTTCAGAGGAAGACTGAAGAAGCTGCAATGGCCACCAAGAGGTTAAAGGAGTTATTAGAAGCTCGTAAATCCTCCAGCCGAGACACTTCGGGTATGATTTGTTTTTGACACATAATGCTCATGTTTAATGATATGTAATTTGGCATGTCTTACACGAGACATGGTAAAGTTTATCTGATAATCTCAAATATCGATATTCTTTTAAGTATAGGAAATTGTCTTTTAGTAAAGAACACTGAATTTTAGTGCAATAACTCTTTTACTATTATCAAATTCTAATTGTATTTCATTTTCCAGTTGCAATGAATGGAAGTGGAATGAATGGACAGGTAACACACTTTCATCTCCATAAATTTCCTTGATTATCCATGTCAGACATAACTAAGATTGAGTTGATTCTTTAGAGCAATGAAAAGCCCTTACAACGGTGGCTTGATCACGAGCTGGAAGTCATGGTAAAAGAGCATGAAGTTCGATTTGAGTATGAGAAGCAAAGCCAAGTGTATGCAACCTATATTCCTAAATTATTTTTCTTACTGATTGATCTACATCGTAATATTTAATATTGTGATATCGCTATAGGCGGGCTGCCCTTGCAGAGGAGTTGGCCATGCTAAAGCAAGTAAATGGGTTTGCTGCCAAGGGTCTCACTCCTCCAAGAGGAAAGAATGGATTTGCTAGGTCTGATTTTTCTTATATAAATATTATAATGCTTGCCTCGTTAGTTTTGAAATTTTTTGGCTCTTCCAAATGGACAGATGCAATATAAAAAAGGACTATTTCTCTCTTCATGGTTGCTTTTAATACTTGTCATTCTTCTCAGAGCATCCTCCATGTCACCAAATGCAAGAATGGCCAGAATAGCTTCACTTGAGAGCATGTTGAGCATAACATCTAATTCACTTGTAGCAATGGCTTCTCAACTTTCTGAGGCAGAAGAACGGGAACGGGCCTTCACTAACCGTGGACGCTGGAACCAGTTACGCTCAATGGGAGAAGCCAAGAATTTGCTTCAATATTTGTTCAATTCTGTTGGAGATGCTAGGTGCTCTATTTAACCTAAACATTTTTAATCTTTTCTCTCTCAAAGAGAAGTGTGCATTAGTCAGTGGCCAAAATTTGCATGTTTTTATGTGCATATCTGATCTAATTCATTAAACACTTGGATCAGTAATTCATGTAAAACAAACAAACAACAACAAAAGCCTTTTCCCACAAGGATCAGTAATTCATGTAAAACACTAGAAAAATAATTTGCCAGATTTGTCCACTTTTTATTTATTTATGGAATAAAGCAGAGATAGAGGAGGTAAACTCCAAGATGCGCATACTGAATACTTTAAATGGTATACAACTTATCTGAGTTTCTTCTTCATCACTATCACATGCACATATCTGACTCGGTTATCTTGCTAATTAGATGATTCTGCTACACTAAATATTTACGTAATAAAATGGTAAAGATGCCTTTTATTCCAAGTTTTCCTGAGTACCTGGAATCTTGTTGCTGCTTTGATACTTTGACATCCATATCCATTCACGTGATTTTCACAAGAACTTGATAAGCAATAAACTAGCAGGAAAATAATTGTTTTGAATGGTCTTTTCCCCTTCTGGCGGAAGGTCAGAATATTCAGATTGTGAGCTGCGATTTATTTTACATAAACTACAAAATCAGTGGAATATATAGGAATATTGATCATGTTAAATTATAATATACAGTCATTTGTTTTACTATTGTTTCATATGACATTCTTTTCTATACTGTAGAAATTTACGTGTTAGATGCTAACTACAGGTGTCAACTATGGGAGAAGGACACCGAGATCTGGGAAATGAAAGATCAAATCAAAGAACTTGTAGGTCTATTACGGCAAAGTGAAATCAAGAGAAAGGAAGCTGAGAAGGAACTAAAAGTGAGAGAGCAAGCTATTGCAACCACATTAGCTACGCCAATTTCTGTAAGATCTTTTCTGCTTAAGATTCAAGCTAAAAACAAGTACGAAATAAAAAATAAAAATAGCTCTAGTGCTACTGCCAAAAAGGTCAGATTTAGCCGCTTCATATGAAGTTTCAGACAAAAGTTAGGCTTTTGTAAACAGAAGAAATTTTCTTTCTTCTCCTTTAAATTATAAAAAGCTTATGATTCTAAGGTTTTATATAGCTTTATAGTGATTATCTTCTTTAAAGGGGATTCAGTCTATTATTGTCTTCATGTTATCTTTTTGACTAACTTTTGATCAGATATCTTTTACTTTGGTGAATCATTGTAATTGTCAACAATATATAACTTTCATTTTCAGTTTTAAATTTATCATCGCTCTCTGCCAACAGGGAAACTCTCCAAATTCATTGAGACACTGTGCAGAGGACATCACGGAACCTTTATCTCCGGAGTCTGTGCCAGTACAGAAACAGCGCAAATATATGCCAGGCATCACCAATGCCCAAGTGAGGGAATCAGCAGCATTTATAGATCAGAGTAGAAGGGTAATCTATTCTCCATCTATATTAAATTTATACTTATTTTCATTGGGCTAAGGATGTGGGATTTGCTGTCAATCCAGATGGTACCCGTTGGGCAACTGTCAATGAAAAAACTAGCAATTGTAGGACAAACTTCTGGCAAGCTGTGGCGGTGGAAAAGAAGCCACCATCAGTGGCTACTACAATTCAAATGGAAGTGGCAGAAGCCATGGAGACTTTCTGAATGGATTCGTCACAGCGATGAGACAATCATGAGAGCAAGGCCACGTTCGCAGGCTTTGCCGCATATCATGTGAATCTCAATGCTATTGTGATCATCCATTTGCCGTTGGCTCAGTTCATTTTTTTAACCAACAAGAATAATCCTAGACGTAAGGCATTGGAAAGAACCAAAATCTAGTGCAGGTAAATTACCCTTTATATTTATTTACATAACATCAAACCAACCCCCTGTGCCATACAACCTTTCAAAATTATATTCTTCCTTATCCGTATCTTTACCCAACCCTATATATAATTTATTTGTTCGTTAATTTGTGCTAATTATTAAATATGACTTAGTTGTAACAATACAAAAATTTTGTTAGTTTCTTTTACTGGTAAATAAAGATGCATTAATCTGACATTACTTGTGTCTAGTTGCAGGGTAATAAATGGTTGCTGACAATAACATTATATATACTGCCCAAATGTTGGAAATGTTTCCGTTGTTTGCTGCATATGGAGCATCTTGTGAGGTGTGTAAAAATGTTGTCGATGGCTTCCCAAGTAATCTAGAATAGGAGATAGTTGCTTGCTTGGAGGCATTTGTGAAGATCTTGCCATACAAATTACCTTATTTTGTTGTTTATACCAACACTAGAAGGGGAGAAAAGAAAATATTCTTTTGTCGAGTCTTGGAATGTGTATTGAGGGTCTTTTGTTTCTTACTTGTATGTTTTGAGTTACTATGGTCTTACTGTGTTGTCAATCATTGATTTTTTGTGTGGATAGAAGTACTGTAGTGTTCCTGTCACAAAGCAACAGAAGGAAATTCTTCTGTTTACCTTTAGGTCTTGTGTGTAAAGAACATTAACTATAATGAAAGAGATTGTAATTTACCGTAGCAGAATTATAGTAACCCCTCCCTTGCAACATATTTATTTTTCCCTGCACAATTAACACTTATTTAGAAGACATATTTATAGTTTATTTGAATTCATCTTGTAACAAGCATTTCTTTTATCAATGTTTTGTAAGGCTTATGAAAATAACTCATGTCAATAAAAACTGTTTCAACTTATTTCAATAAATTATGCAGGGTACTACAGCATACACAAAAATAGTTTAACCACATTTGTTATTTAAGCATCCAAATAACTTATTAAGTACTTATTCAAGATGACCTTAATTAGGATATTTTTCCGAACAATAGACAGAGGCTGCTTATATATATTTAGGTTTCTAAATTTTACTGTGGCCCAAAACCAAGCTAAGATAACATGCAGGAGTGATATTGGTTCAATGCTGCCCTTGGTTCGATCCTCCATGAGATTTTCTTATAAGCGTAAAAGAATGGGCATCTAATCGTATGCATGGCTACGATCCCCTGCAACATACAAAATCTGCAGCAAGAGGTGGCTTTTGATTTATTTTTATTTTTTTCACCTTTTCATTGATATCTTCACAATTACAAATTTTACGTTATTTCTTATGTCCAAGACAATGTCAAGGAAATGATGAAAAACAAAATAACTTCAATTTTCTCTATAATTTTGTGAATCAGAACATGATAAACAAAGTGACAATAAAGTATTATTTTTTCTATTATTACTCAAACATATCAACTCAAAGTGAAAGCGAAAATTATACAGTAAAGGTTACATAATGTATTGTTGAAGCAAACAGATAGTAAACAATTGGAGTCAACATAGACACCCAAGGTTACTCGAGAAAATTATGTACGGGTATGGTTTACAGCATTGAAGTCTTCAAAGAACACAGTTTGGAAATTCACTGTGACAGCAGCATGATCCAAGTATAAGGCACTCAACTCAGAAATTCGCTCATTCCATCGATTCCACCTTAAAGATGCACAAAAAAAAGTAGCATCAGCATGGGAGATGGGCAAACTTACACCACCACAGCACCAAGAGATTAACAACACCAGTATGCATAGTGCTCCTCTTTGCGATGGTTACTAACAAGGCCTCCACACTTCAAACAAATGAAGCTGCTTCCATCAGAAACTGCATCCAACACTACTTGCATCCTGCCACTTTCTGCCAGTATGGAAGTCCCATGAGCATCTGGTTCCGGGGTAATTGATGGGCTGGTCATGTTACTGGTAGGTGCTTCAATCACCGCAGGTTGTGCTTCGGCAATAGCACACTCGGCAAACAATGAAGCCAGCTGATCAACAGCAGCATTCTCTTGCAGTCTACTTCTGTACACCTCCCGAGCACGATGCAAGGACTGAAAAACAGCTTCATCTCCACCTCTAGTCCTCATTGCTGCAACAACCTGTTCCACTTACAGGTTAATATCAACTACGGAAAAGATACTTAGATTTAAGGAGTGTTTGGTTTGTTTTCTATTTTTCATTTACAGTTGATATATGTACACTATTTATTACAGTAATACCAAGTTGTTATCGATTTGTTTCATATTCTCTAAATTTAACGAGGACAATGGGAAAGCAAATTTATCATTTTCACTATTTCCTTTATAAAACTATGAAAATAGTAAACAAAATGAAACCAACGTAACATTTTGTAAATATCAGTGAAACAGATCAACTATAAATGAAATCAGATAACAATCACACACCCTCTTAGTTTTATGCTTTTTTTCACATTAGACAAGTATATTGCACTTTCTACGAGTATGATTTATGTTTCAAACATCACAACAGGCAAATTCTCTATGTTTAATACAACACAACAGGAAAATTCTCCATGTTTCATACATCACATATCACTTTTTATCATCTAGGTTTTAAAGACATCAGAACCAAAGATAAAAAACTTTCATATGTCACCAAGCCATGCATAATATTGGGAAATTGAACTGTGTTTGACAATGCATCCTTGAAAATATGACCCCTTTGAACGGGGAAAGGATCCTCCCCATTTCCTGTTTCTTCCATTTCATAATATATTTGAAAAATAAATAAATAAAATTAATACACATTTTATGAAAAGCGACATTTATTGTCCTAACAGTCTGGTAATGGAAAAAATGGAGAGGAACTTTTCTCATTACGAAGGGCAATGACTTCATTAAACACTCTAAATTGTAACAAGAACTCCACTTTGATGATGCACGCAAAGAATTTTTTTTTTTTTTTTTTCAAATATGAACTTTTCTGTGCAACGTGCCTCACAAAATCATGTAATGACTATTTAGGTAACTCTATCTTGGTATTTTACGGTCAATTTTGGAGTTGCGAGAGGAGGGAAGAAGAAAGAATCTAATCAAACTGAAGTGTGAAGGGTAATGTAGAGAGATTAATGAATAAGTTTCTTGGCCATTTTTAGATGTTTAAAATCCTTAATGTCCTACAAATTGGAGAACTTCAAAACGTTCATAAAATTAGCTAAGGAGCGGATTTGGGAAGTTGAATGATAAATTGATAATCCTCCATTTTCATCATATCCGTAATTTGGTATGCATGATGAATTCTTTTGGAATTTAAGCACATGTCAGAGATACATAACGCTGGTCTTCTCCACTCATACAAGAATTTGAAATGTCCATGCAGATGTCGAGGAGGACAGTGACTAGCATGTATAAGTGCAAGAAAAACTTCTATTTTTATTTATAAACTCAGTCAGTGTGATTTTTTATTATCTTTTTCAAAAACAAAATAAGCCCATACAAATTGGTTCAGATTACTTTGAAGAAATAATCACTCACTTTTGCCACATTTTTGAGATAGCCTCTGAAAACAAACAATTATTTCCTAAAACCTAAGCTATACCAAGCAAAAAATTAAGGTGCACTACTGGGATGAGAGTTCCCAGCTATTGTTTCACTTTCAGCCTCTTAGAATTCATTTTCCGGGCAAGGGTCTAAGTCTAACTCAACTCAAGAACTGTCCAAACATTATGAACACTATATAAGCCATAGTTGCAGTGATGTCAGATCTCTAAAGACTTTCACACCAATGGGAAACTTCACTTAATGCAAATTGATTTTAAGATAAAATCTAACACACCCTAAAGAAAAATTATAACGGAGTTTGGCACACAAGACAAGTGCTTGATGCAACAAACAGAATTCATTTATATGAGATATAGGAAACCCAAAAATTTGCAGACCTCGTGTGCTAAACTTAGCACCAAACTACCTCTTCACTGCAAATTGTAAATGTGAATTCAAATCGAGACTATCTAAGTGGAAAACACCAGCTTATAAAAAGTCCCTAATTTTTCTCAATTCCATTCATTGAGCAGTTTATAAAACAGTGATTCATTCCACGAGAACTTTTCTTTCCAACCCTAGAGCCTGTTTTTCAGACTCAGTTAGTTTAAGAGAAGATGAACATTTACAGCACAAAACACAAATTAAGAAAATTGAGAAAGAAAATCATAGATAAAATCTTGAAAGTTAAGAATTCAAAAGAAGATAAAGAACGGACGAAAAATCGAAAAGAAGAAGAAAAATATTACAGCTTGGAGGGCCTGGGAAGGTTTGCCTTGAGTGATGAGCTGGCGAGCCAATGTGAGCAAATCTCGAGCAGCGTCGTTTTGGCCGGCACTGGATATTTGAGGCTGCGATGACGATGACGACGCCACTGCCGCCTCCGCTTCCATCATCTCCCAATCCATCATATGATCTTTCCTTTCTTTACTCTTTATCTTTATTTATGAATATTATTATTCCGTGTCTCTATCACTTTGATTCTAAATGCTTACAATACGAAATATTAAAATTTCATATCTAATGAAATCGTTAGCTTTTGAGGCTTTTCATTACAATTGAATCTGAATGGAATTGATTGTGATAAAAATGAATTATGAAGAAATTGCAGAGCTTGTAAATATGGTGCTAGTGAGTTCTAGCACGTTCCGCTGCTCTGTCTATTTCTCACAGCGACAACAAGCATATTTATGATGTCATGTGTCATTCGGGTTTTGTTTGGACCGGGACCAGATCCTAGACTAGGCCCAAAACTTTACGCCCTTTCAATATTCGGGCCCTTTCTTCTAGTACCCTTCAAAATCCATCTTACACCTCCTTCCACTTTTAATACTTTCAAAACTCTTAAACTACCCATAAATATATATTTACGCGCGTTTTTTTGGATGAGGTAGTTTAGGGATAATTCATTTATTTAATGAATTTAAAATTATTTACAATCAAATAATAAAATTGAGAAAAAAATAAAATATTTTAAATAACTAAATTGGTAAAATTTGAATTTCATGAAAAAAATTGAAATTTCACTTTTCCCTGAGTTATTCGAGTAGTAAAAAATATAAGATAAATTAGGTGGTTAAACTCATGTGGTCTGTGAGACATTTGTCCATTGGTTACTTTTATATATTATTTAAAAATGCCAATTTTATTAACTTATTAAAAGTACTTAAAAAAATGGAAATGAAAATGATTTTGGGAGGAGAAAATAACGTGTGTATAAAACTAGAAAAATATTGATTATATGTAGCTGCTTACATAGGAAGTTAAACAGAAAAAAAAATATTATCATTAATATATTGCTAACAACGAGTAAGAACAAATAACAATTTCCTAAAAATAAGAATTTTATTTATTGACTCACAAAATTTAATTAATCCTGTACTGTAATATACTAAAAGTATTTAGTTTATACTAATTTCAGTACATTTAAGAAATCATTCAATTTTAATGATTTTGTTATCATATTAACTCATTGTTTCATAGTGTTATAATGAGCCAATTTTATTGAATTAGGTTGAGTGAGTTTTCGCAAAATATTAAAACATATGACAATTTATTATTGATTTTTTTATATTTTAATAGTAAAATTATTATTGTAATAAATAATAATTGATTCAGGGAGTTTCATATTACATCAAGATTTGACAATAATAACTCTAAACTTAAAAAAAAAAAAATTAATGTTTTTTTATTATCCACACTACTAATGTAATCATTGTTTGTACAAGTAAAGAATTAACCATCTTTATAGGAAATATCATATTTAGATGTTACTTTTAAATACTTCAACAATCTTTTTATTATTATATCTGAAATACGGTGAGATTATAAATGTATTTATTCAAAGACTTACTAAAAATACTATATTTTATGTAGTTATTATCAGATATATTAAATAGATATATCCTAATAAGCTGATAAAAAAAATTATTAAATAAAAAAATTTAATTAGATTAATTTTGACCTATTTCATTATCTATATGAATTTAGGTCATGTTAATTTATAAATTATTTTATTTTATAAAATAATTATTATTTAAAAAATATTATATATATATATATATCAAATTAAGATAATATAATTTTTTAAAAATTAGTTTTTATTATTTAAAATTGACTTTTTTTTTACTAGATTAGTTTTTTATGATAAATTATTATTATTATTATTATTATTATTATTATTATATATATATATATATATAATATTAATTTCCAATCAAGAAAAATATTCATTAGTACACATGTTTAACATAGAATAAACTAGATTAAAAAATATGTAATATATTAAAATATAGATTATTCTTCATTTTGACCATCTAATAATTATTATATACATGAAAAATTCTATAATTAAAATTATGAATAATTAATAGGATTATCAAAATACGTGATTAGACTCGGTTGACTTGATCTTATATTCAAGTAAAAAATATCAATAACCTAACTAGACTTATATTTTAAAATAGTCATAATTTTGTGTTTAGTATGATCATATATTAAGTTAATATGTTAATAATGGGTCAATTTTGACCTAATTAAAAATTAAAAAAATTAATGTGTTTATATTCAAACAATTAATTAAATAATATTTTAATAAGTTAAAAAATATATTTTAATTTTTATATTAATAAAATTAATATTTAATGTAATAATTTAATATATAAATTACAAGAAAAAATATTCGTTCATTTCTAAAATAAAAGTTAAGAACTTATTTTACTTTATCATCATTCATTTTTTTTAGTAATATAATAATTTAGAATGGTAATTTTTCTTAATCATTAAATCTTGAAAATGTGGATATTCGAAGTTTACTCCTATAATTAATCTTAGAATAAATTTATCTCTCATCAAATAAATTTATAATACATATATATTGTGTAATAAAATTGATCAACTCATAAGCTTCAGAGCTAGCCTAATTCTAACTCATTTAGATTATGACCTAAATGGATCAAATCAAAATAGATAAAATTTAATTTAAGTCATAATTTTTTTTAACATAATTTATTTCTCGATCATTTTAGGTTCATCTATCGAGTTAAATCTATTTTAAAACTCTTAATTAGAGAATTGATAAAATTACTTTGTTCCATTTTAAGTTGTAACAACTCTTCATGGACATATTTTTGTTTACTCATAAAAATTTCACCTATTTTTTACTTGACTTATAAACCAAGAAAATACTTATTGTCAAGACCCATCATATCACAATTATGTTTCATAAATGTTTTAAACTTTTCAAACATCAATCCCCATTTACTTAAAAAAAATATTAACATACACACGTACTTACAATGAACACATCGCCTTACTTGTTTACTTTACTAGAGACAGAATATTTGTAATCACATTTCTAAATATATTGTCCTTTATGAAATAGGCTTTTGTATGATTGTACCAAGCATGTAGCGTTTGTTTGAGCCCAAAAATATATTATTTAATTTGTAAATTTTTTGCTCCTTCCCCTTTTGAGTATAATCATACAGCTACAAACATATTTTTAATTAATTTCTTATGTATTTTACATCCAATAGAAAGATAAACCACCTTTTTTAGATGCAAATGCAATTACTAAACAAGCAATCTCCATACAAGTCACAAGATAGGGCCAACTCCTTCCATGCTATTGTTAAAAGGAATCAAGCAAGGAATCGCATTAATGCAGTGAGAATGCTTGATGACAATATGACTAACTCTCCTAATCAAGTTGCTGCTGAGTTTCTCTCTTTTTATATGAATCTGTTAGGGTCTGAGTCCCAAGTGCATGATATCTCCCTCGCCACTCTTCAAGAAGGTCATCTGTTCAGTCAGCAGCAAGGAGACTCTCTCTTGGCTGCTGTCACAAGGCGCCTGGGCCTGATGGCTACTCGTCCAAGTTCTACAAGTCCTCTTGGGATCATGCTTCAGAGGTTACTGATTTTAGGCCCATTGCTTGCTGCAATGTGATATATAAAGTTATATCTAAGATCCTAGCTAGCAGGCTCTCCAAATTTCTTCCTAATTTGATTGATCCAGCCAAAACAACTTTTGTCCCAAGAAGGAGCATGAACGAGAACATCTTTTTGCTGCAAGAGCTGCTCAAGGGTTATGCTAAAAAGAGAGTTTCTTCAAGATGCTTGTTGAAGGTGGACCTCAGGAAGGCTTTTGATACCGTAAACTAGTCTTTCCTATTCAAGCTTCTGATTGGGCTAAATTTCCCTCGGAAATTTGTGAAGCTCATAAAGGAATGTGTCATGACTACCTCTTACTACATCTCTTTAAATGACACGCTGCACGGTTTACTTCAAAGGTAAGAGGGGGCTCAGGCAAGGAGATCCCCTCTCTCCTCTGCTCTTTGTTATTTCTATGGAGTATCTGTTAAGGCTGATGAAGACTTTATGAAGGGAGGAGGATTATAACCCACATCCCAAGTGTATTGATGTCAAGTTAAATCATCTCATCTTTGTAGATGATCTTATCTTATGCTCAAGAAGGGATTTATTATCTGTTGAGAAGTTTCTTAAGTGCTTTCATAACTTCAGCAGATGTTCTGGGCTGTATGCAAATAATGAGAAATCACAGCTGTCGCCGCCGTCCGTTCCGACGTCCTGGGGACGTCTCGAACGTTTATGCGAGCGGTCGCGAAAAGATGGGTGAGACTCGCGTTTTTTGTTAAAATTGTGTTCATTGCTTCCGAGGTGCTCAACACTGAACTATCCTCTAATAGAAGCAAGGTTTTCGAAAAGGGGTTCTTTTGGAGTCGCCACCAATGTTTTGACCAGAAACATTGGAAAAGGAAAAAAAAGGCGTTGATTTTATTAAAAACCAACTTGGCCATTATAACCAGAGTTGGGTAAGGGAGTTAGTTACGTGTGGGGAAGGTATTAGCACCCCACAACGCCCCTTTCGGGTTCCCTATGACGGATTTATTCATTAAGTGAAGATTATGAGAAATTACGCATTTACCCTTATTTTATTCGTACAGTTATTTAGATATGGTTATCTACATGATGTATCTACATTGCATATAGAAAACAATAAATAAAGCAGTAAAGAAGAAGAGAATTGAGAAAAACCTCCGTAGCAAGCTTTATATTATGATTCTTGTACAAAGAGGACGCGTTTCGGCAGTCCTTCGCTCTACAATTGTTCTCTCCTCTCGATTACAGACTCGACTCGACTAAATTTTCTAGAAGAATCGAATGCCGGAATACAAATTCCTTAACTGATTGTTACCTAAAAAAGGCAATCAGAGAGATCATTCGAGAGAGGGAGAGAAGAAGACAAGTCTACGAGTTGTCCGGTGTGTCCTGAATGACAAATGAGGCTCCTATTTATAGTAAATTTTGCCCTGGAACTTTGGGACGGCCGTGCGGGTTGGGACGGTCGTCCCAAGCGTGTTTTCTGCGTTGTGCCAATGCGGGACGGC